ATCAAGTCATAACTATACATTGTCTAGCTAAATTTCTCTCCTGTCAGAGTCGCGATCTTTACTCCGGTCACTTTGTTTTCCTTCTCACCTATTGTTAGTGGACAGTAGGGCTGTGCGAAATGGCACCTTTCCATTTCGACTTGCGTTTCGAGGGAACAGCGTTTCATTTCAAATTTCATTTTGATTCGAAACCGCTGTTCCATTTCGTTTAGTCAGAACAGTTTTGCTGTTTTGATGCCGTTTGCGACGTTTCGCCCGTAGGTTATAATAGGGAAGCTTGAAACAGCCTATAACTTTGTCATTCCGGCTTAATTTGGATGCAACTTGCAGGCATGCTAGCCCCTTCTGAGGGTATGAAGCCTGCCGAGTTTCAAGGAGGTAGGTGCAGGGGTTTGGGGGAAACTGCACCTCAAGCTGCAGACAAGCAAAACTCATGACATGGGTGACACTGTGTGCTAAGGCGCAGCAGGGTGAAAACTGCAGGCCTGTTAGGCCCTGTTGTGGCCACGAATCCTGCCAGCTGTCAAGGAGATCGGTGCAGGGGGAGTCTGGGTTCTGAGGCCCTGCACCTCTAGCTGCTGACAGGCAAAACTCGTGACATTGGTGGGTGACACTCTGTGTGTGTTAAGGTGCACCCTCGCTCAACTGACACCAAGGCAGAAAGCAGGGCAGTTCAAACAATGCTGCCTTTTATGCAGTTTTTCCATCCCTCCCCCAGAGCACTGGGATTGGAAGGGACCTCAGGAAAGGATGACAGTCACTGGCCAGCTACACAATCAATAATTAGAGCACTCCTTTTTTTCCCTTCCCCCTCCCTCTCCTTACTCTCGTTTGTTTCCCTGCAGGCAAGCCCAGCTTGAGCTCCAAAACTCAAAACGTTTAAAAAATTTTGAAATGTTTCAGCTTGCCTCATTTTGTTTCGAGCCTGTTTCGAAGCTCTCTGTTTCATTTTGATTTTGTTGTTTTGAGTTTGAAATGAGTCAAAACAGCGTTAAAATGAAACTGCTGGTGAAATTTTGCAGTCCTAGTGGACAGGTGTGTATCATCATGGTGGGAGGTGTTCTTGGCTCTGTGCTGTTCAGCATCTTTATCAACAATTTAGATGAGGATGTGGAAAGCACTCTGTCCAAGTTTATGGATGATACTAAGTTATGGGGAAAAGCGGTCATGCTAGGGGATAGAATACAGATCCAAGTGGACCTGGACAAGTTGGACAGGTGGGTGGAGCAGAACCAGATGCAGTTCAATAAGGATAAATGCAGAATGTTTCATTTGGGGAGAAGTAACCAGCAACATAAATATAGGTTAGGAGGAGACGTTCTGGCCAGCATGATAGCTGAAAGGGACTTTGGGATTATGGCTGATCACAGAATGAACATGAGCCACCAGTGCAATGCTGTAGCCAACAGAGCTAATAGCATACTGGGATGCATTAGCTGATGTGTTGCGAGCAGGGCCAAGGAAGTGATACTTCCTCTCTACTCAGCACTGGTGAGGTCCCAGCTGGAGTACTGTGTCCAGTCCTGGGCACTGCACTTCAAAAAAAGACATGGAGAATTTTGAAAGGGTCCAGGGAAGGGCCACAAGAATGATTAAGGGCCTGGAGGACAAAGCTTATGAGGAAAGACTAAGGGATCTGGGACTCTTCAGGCTGGGGAAGAGAAGACTGAGGGGGGACTTGGTGGCCATCTGTAAGTATGTAAGGGATGAATTTCAGGAGCTGGGAGAAAAAATGTTCACGAGGGCACCCCACAGGAGGACAAGGAGCAAGGGCCATAAACTGTTAGAGGATGGCTTCAGGTTGTATGTAAGGAAGAACTTCTTTACAGTAAGAATAACCAGAATCTGGACTAAACTCCACAAGTAGGTGGTGCAATTCCCAACCTTGGAAGTCCTGAAGTAGAGACTGGACAGACACCTTGCTGGGCTCATCTGATCTCAGCAGTATCAGAGCAGGGGGGTTGGACTCAATCTTTTGAGGTCCCTTCCAGCCCTTAATTTCTATGATTGTACAATATTATACAGAGACACTGTGGATGTGTCTACATGTTGCCATATGGCAATGTTGCTACAGCACTGTGCTTTAGTACTTCCTTTTGGAAGTACTAAAGCATGGCACAGTAATCACGCATACTGAACCATGCACACGGCACATGGTTAGATTTTGCTGCTACATCGCCATAGCGGCATGCTAAAAAGGGGGAGCGCACCCCTGTGGCAACATAGCTGCCAATCAGGTGTAGACCCATGTGATTGCTACATTGCCAGAGTGTGCTCTGTGGCAACATAGCACATTGGTACGTTGCTATAAGGCAGTGTGTAAACGTGTCCTGTTAATATTAGGTTCCCCTAAATATTCTGCCAGCTGGGAAGTGCATGTATTCACAGAGAAGGAAAGTGGAGAACTTGGAGGTTCTGTTTGCTTTCTCCCTTTTGTACAAAAATGCTTTCTCATGCTCATGAATGAAGGAAGTGGCAGCACCATGGGGCAAGGCAATTTATGTGTAGCAGTATTTTACTGGATATATTTATGCTTTGTTCCTGAAAAACCTGCTGAGCATATTGATAGCATGGCAGTGGTTAGCTTATATAAATTAAAGTGAAAAGCAGAGATAAGGTCTGGTAGGAGAACTGGTTATACCTTCCTACAGGGAAATTTATTTTGAAAATATCTAGCTTTCTGTAAACCAACCCATTCCAAAAGCCAAAACATTTATATTTTGGATAAATGTATTTTTGTGGCATCTAATCATAGAATCAT